CACTGCATTTAATGCCACATCTACTGCAATCATTTTGGAAGGTACAATTGTATTGGATGATCTGGAAAATCCTCCCCAAGATATGCCTGCTCTTTGGACTTGGATTTATGCTATGAAATTATAGTATCCTCCAGTACTGAAGTACACCTTTGATTTCATTCAATGGCTGAACCTAGAATGCAATCTCTGAAAAATCTTTTGTTGAAGAAAGATGTCATTGTGGCGTGATGGAGCATTTTTCAGTGTAATTGTTCTTGATTGATCATTATTGATTTAGAAAAAGGTAATTCTAGAAAATGGTAAATCTAGATTTAAAAGGTGTCATAAAAGGGATGTTTGTTTTTTCTATTTATTTCCTGAGTGCAGTATGGGCAATTTTTCTTACAGTGTTAAATTGTTGATTTGATAGCATGCCTAAAAAATAATGACTTGAAGTAACATTGTTTTAAACAAATAAATGCCCTATTGTTGTGCTAACAATCTGTTTTCTGTCTTTATATTAACAACTTTAAGTTTTGAGTACAGCTTACTTGAGAAATTTAAGGCAATCTGTTTCCACACATTTGTCTAGTAATGTGAACAAAGCAGACTTGTTAAGAGAACTGTTTTGTTTGAGTTCTGTGCACTAAGCTTAACTTGCATCTCTAAGTTGGCTGAACTTGTCAAATTGAGTTGGCAACACTCCGTCATATACATATACACAAGTTACCTATACAAAGTTACAGTAAGTTTTATTAACTCAAAAATGATAAACTAATTTGCTTGAGAAATTTGAGGCAATCAGTTTCCACAGGTTTTTCAAGTAAGTTCAACTCATTACTTTTTACAGTGCATGCAGTTGTTCCCAGATCAAACTGGCTGTAAACAGCCTTTTCACTGATGAGTTCTCAAGCCAATTGACTTTAAAAAGTGTGTCCAAAATGCAATATTTACTTGTTTTGAGAATGTCATTATTCAACAAGTGCCCAATATACTGGGTTATTAACCCTGACAATGGCCAAATCAACCAACCCTCTCCTTTCACACACACTCTACTGCTAATAATGTAGATCAAGACCAAGATGATGACGTTGATGATAGTAACAATAGGGATAAACAAGGCCTCTGTTTTAATATAAAGCAAACATTTTATGTTCATATTATCTATATATCATGACTTAATTGGCCATAAATATGTTTCCTGCACTGTTTTGTTCTATGTTAAATGCATAAATGCACACGTTTAATTGCTGAAATGGCTTTTGTCACAAAAACACAGACTCATCATTATGTTGTTCCTTTTGGTGTCTCAACAGCAGAAATGTGTCACCACGTGGAGTTCTCTGCAACTTAAATATATTACGTTGCAGTTCCTAAAAACAAACACAAAACAGCATTCACAACCCATTGTACTTGCATAATCCGACTTATTTACCAGTTAACAGCATTCAATTAGACAAAAATGTAGGGTTAAACTTACATTTTAAAGGAATAGTTCACCCAAAAATGAAATTTTGCTGACCCTCAGTGAGTACTAGTATTTACCATCTTCTGCAGTGAATGGGTGCCGTCAGATTGAGAGTCCAAACAGCTGATAAAAACATCACAATAATCCACAAGTAATCCACAACACTCCAGTCCACCAGTTAACATCTTGTAAAGAGAAAAGTTGTATGTTTGTAAGAAACAAATCCATTAAGACATTTGAACTTTAAAAGGTTGACTTTTTTACTGGAGGAATATGGATAGAGGACTTGCATTTTAGCTGGAAGCAACAGTTTGATGTTAAAATTGTTGTAATGATAGATTTGTTTCTTACAAACAGCTTTTTTCGCTTCACAAGACATCAATTGATGGACTGGAGTGTTGTGGATTATTAT